AATCCAGTAGCAATGAGCAACTCTAGTTGCTCAGATTGAATTAACACATTTCCCACTAAAAGGAACCAGGCTTCCTTGGAGAAAAGGCTGATTCTGGGACTAAGCAGAGATTGTAGCAGATGAGTCTGAACCAAACTCTCATACCAGCACACATGTCAAAGACACAACAGCCAACCCAAAGACTCAGAGGCCAACCCAAAGGCTCTCACACAGTCCAATAATAGAACAATTTGAACATCGAAATTATCAATGACTGCAACGGATTAAAATATCAAGTATATAAATGTCTAGAGCCTATGATGACCCTCTAAAAGAAAAACCAAACAAACAAAACCTCCACCTTTGGAGGATCCCAGGGAAACAACTTTTTTTTTTTTGGCTGCACTGTGCAGCTTACAGGATCTCAGTTCCCTGACCAGGGATTGAACCTGGCCATGGCAGTGAAAGCCCAGAATCCTAACCACTAGGCCACCAGGGAACTCCCAACAACTCACTATTTTGAAAAGTAGACAAACTGCAAAAGAATTAAGCATTAATCCTTATCTTCTGTGTCAACCAGACCTCAGTGTAACCTCATAGCTAATAAGGGGAAAGTTTTGTTTGTTTGTTTGTTTGTTTGTTTTGTGGTACACAGGCCTCTCACTCTTGTGGCCTCTCCTGTTGCAGAGCACAGGCTCCGGACACGCAGGCTCAGCGGCCATGGCTCACAGGCCTAGCTGCTCCACGGCATGTGGGATCTTCCCGGACTGCGGCACGAACCCGTGTCCCCTGCATCGGCAGGCGGACTCTCAACCACTGCGCCACCAGGGAAGCCCCTGGAAGTTTGTTTTATAGAAGAATTCCAACTAATAAATGCAGAAGAAATTATAGAATTAAAGCATTACTGGGAATTCCCTGGCAGTCCAGTGGTTAGAACTCCACACTTTCACTGCTGAGGGCATGGGTTTGATCCCCGGTCAGGGAACTAAGATCCTGTAAGCTGTGTGGTGCGGCCAAAAAAAAAAAAAAGAATTAAAACATTACCATTTGCAACCATTAATGAAATATAGATCTAGGCTTTAAGAGGCTAAAAAACCATGAGTTAAAATGTCTATGGGAAATTTCATAATGGGTAGATCAGACTGACAACACCTGGACCCAGTGGTCAGTCTCAAAGACACAGTAGGAAAGACAACCAGATATGATGAGGCTCCTGATGTAGGGTTACAGGAAGTACAACTCCACATCTCAGGTACTCTTTCCACAAATCTGAATCTGAGCAAGCCTCTATATATACAGTAATTACCAATTTAAAGGAAATAGGATGGGCCAGAGGAATAGAACAAACAGCATAATAGAAATAATCAGCATAAGCCAGAATGCAAACTTCACAGGAAAAAGATCCAGTTTATTAAGTAAATAAATGGAGATTAAAAAAAGAGGACATTTGGGCTTCCCTGGTGGCGCAGTGGTTGAGAGTCCGCCTGCCGATGCAGGGCACACGGGTTCGTGCCCCGGTCTAGGAAGATCCCACATG